ATTCCCGTCTGGCTTCCCCCGAACCATCCCAGGACTCCTCATCCCCCCTGGCTCTCTGACCAAGATGGGTAGAGTTCTCTGCTCTGATGCACCCTGAAGCCAGCATCTCCTGTGGGTGGGTTTCAGAGAACCAGCTGGCGCAGCTCCTGCAGCTCTTCCCCCAGCCTGCCAGGGAGACCCTGCTGGGGCCCAGGGCCCTGCCGGCTGGTGTTGGACTGTCTGGGGCCTCTCTGCGCTGGCCACTCCTGGTGGGGCACTGGGTCCTGGCATCCCCTGCACACACAGCAGTCCTGGGGGGCCCCTGAGGCCTCTGAGATGTCAGAGCCCCTGATGCTTCTGCTTAGCCTGTCAATAAAGGTAGATCTGATTGTGTGGGACATGTGGTCCCTGTGCCGAGGTCCCCGGGGCAGGGGCCAGCACCAAGATGGGCAGCCCCACAGTCCTGAGGCTGCCGGGCGGAGTGGTCACCATGTGGGGACGCCAGGACCCCAAGCCAGGCAGGCAGGACACCCAAGGTCTGGGGTGCAGCTGGGATTCCCCCCAAACCAAGGATGAGGCCCGCCCGAGCTCTCAGGCATTGTTTCCATTTTGTACACACAAGAGTCTTCCCTAAGATGATGCCCACACCTTCCTTTTCAGATCATTAAATAGCGCCAGGGGGGGTCCTTTTGTACAAAAAAGGAGACCTGTCAGCTCTATGACTTTGGAGTCCACGATGCCTGCAGGTCTCGGAGCAGGGCACATGGGTCTGCGAGAGCAGGGAGACCCTTGACCGGAGGGCCCAGGACCCTGTGGTCGGGGGACCGCAGGCCTCAGTTTCCCAGCTCCAGAGGCAGCGCTGAGAGGGCGGAGAGACGGTTGGTCCCGCCCCCCTGCCGCCCAACCCGGCCCCTGGGCCCTGGCCCTCCGCCCCACCACCTACTGCCGGCGTGGCGGGCGGGGCTTCAGCCTAGTCCTTTCTGGGCCCCGACCGGCTCTGACGTTACAGTGGGCGGAGCCTTCCTCGCCCTGCCGCGGCTGTGGACAGACCGGCCCCAGCCCTGACGTACGGGGGTGGCCCCGCCGAGTCCCGCCCCTGCCCTGACGTCGCGGTGGGCGGAGCGCCACCCCCGGGCCTGGCAGTGCTGTTCGGTGCGGCGGGGCGCGCGGAGGGATCGGCGCGGCCATGCGGATACCGAACCCGAGCCCGAGCCCGAGCCCGAGCCCGAGCCCGAGCCCGAGCCCGATCTCCGGCGCGGCGCGGCTCCCCCGACGGAGGCGACGGGCGCGGGGCGCGCTCTGAGGCCTGGGGATGCGCCGCCGCCTCGACCATGGGCGCCGTCGCCTCCCGGAGGAGGGCGCTGCGGAGCGAGGCCATGTCCTCGGTGGCGGCCAAAGTGCGGTGAGTGCGGCTGGCCGACCGCCGGGGCCAGCGCCGCCCGCGTCCCCGCCCCCGCCCCCGCAGCGTGATCGCAGCCGGCGCCCCGCCCCCACCCCCGTGCGGCTCCCTTCCCTGAGGCTGCGATGGGCGAGCTGCACGACCTCACGACCCTCACACACACTGGGTGGCAGGGGCTGGATGGAAAGCAGACCTGGGCCCCGCCTGCAGGTCTGGCCAAGGTGCACCGACACCCAAGGGTCCCCGAACTGTGACCTGCCAGCCCTGGGCATTCTGAGGTGGGATAGGAGTGCTTGCTGGGGGTGACCCCTGAGCCCTCCCTTGCTGGCGCCGAGGGCCTGGGTGGGGTGGGGACGCCAGGGTGGGTGGTGTGCACTGACGGCGCACTCCGCTGTCCACCCCTCAGAGCAGCCCGAGCGTTTGGCGAGTACCTGTCCCAGAGTCACCCCGAGAATCGAAACGGTGCAGGTAAGGGCACGTGAGGCAGTGCCGGGACGGAGTCCACTCACAGCCCCCCAACCTAGGCGAGGGGATGCTGTCTCCTGTCCAGGTCAGGCCCAGCCCCTGCGCACTGTGGGGTGTGAGCAGGCAGCTAGTGCCCTGCTGGGCTGGATTCCTCACGCCCCCTGCCCCGCCTGGCCCAGAGCCCCAGGAGGAGCTCCGAGTCACTCATCACCATGGCACCCACCCAGCTTGGGCCGTTGGCATGGCAACAGTCCTCCTGGCACCCCCAGGACTGGCACCACTGTCTCTGGGGGCCAGCTGGTGGGGGGGGAGGGGAGAAGTTGGCACTGGGCACATGGGTGTGGTGGCAGGCTGGGAGGTGGCCTGCTTGTTTCTGGCCCCCCCCATCACCCACAGGTAGCACAGCCTGTTGCCCACACGCACGTAAGAGGGGCTTGGGGCTCCGATAGGCGTGAGACGTGAACCTCTAGGGGGAGTGCGCAGCTCAGAAATGCCTCTTCTGAAGTCATCAGGGCCCATGGTTTGTTCAGTGGGCCAGGCACCCGCTGGGTATTCATTCCCTGCCTTCAGAACACCCAGAGACTGGGAGGGCAGGGCCAGCAGGCCGCAAGCTCACCTGGTGCCTCTCCCCCAGACCACCTGCTGGCTGACGCCTACTCTGGCCACGACGGGTCCCCCGAGATGCAGCCTGCCCCCCAGAACAAGCGCCGCCTCTCCCTCATCTCCAACGGCCGCTATGAGGGCAGCCTCCCAGAGGAGGCCGTCAGTGGAAAGCCAGCCGGCGAGGGCCCCCAGCCCCGTGTGTATACCATCTCCGGGGAGCCGGCCCTGCTCCCCAGCCCGGAGGCCGAGGCCATCGAGCTGGCTGTGGTGAAGGGGCGGCAGCAGCGGGAGCGGCACCCCCGCCACCATAGCCAGCCCCTGCGCACCAGCCCGGGCGGCAGTTGTGAGGACGTCAGCAGACCCTGCCAGAGCTGGGCGGGCAGCCGCCAGGGCTCCAGGGAATGTCCCGGATGTGCCCAGCTTGCCCCCAGTCCTTCCCCTCAGGCCTTTGGGCTGGACCAACCGCCTCTGCCTGAGGCCACCAGCCGCCGCCAGAAGCTGGAGAGGATGTACAGCGTTGACCGCGTGTCTGGTGAGGGGCTCGCTGGGGGCCTGGGCAGCTTCGGGCAGGATGCTGGCGCTGGGGCCGGCCAGCAGCAAGCACTGTGAGGCCTGGGCAGAGCAGGGTGCCCAGGCCACGGCCTGCACGTGGCAACCTGCTGCCACAGCCCGTGCCCCACCTCAGGCCTCACGGTGGGCTTTAGCCTTGCCAGCACCAAATCATCGGAGAAGTGCTTCCCCAAGGAGGGACCTGGGAGGGTCTTAAGGGTTGAGCAGGTAGAAAACCTGGCTGAACGGGAAGATCGGGCTGCCTCCAGGGAGTCCTGGGGAACAGTCCCTGCCCTGGGGCCCACTCACCAAGGGAGGCGCATGATTGCCTGGGGCCCAGCCAGCTAGGGGGGCCTGCCCCAGGATGGTCAAGCTGTGCCGGTGGCTGCGGAGCTCCGGAGGCCTGCTGTCGGCAAGAAGCCTCCCTGGGACGTTCAAGTGGCCCCACGCTTCCTGGCCCTGAGGTTGTCATCTCCTGAGAGCGGAATTCTACCTAGCAGAACTGGCACGCCCTCTCAGGGCACCTCTTGGGCCTCCAGATCAGCAACCCAGCTGGGCCTCAGGGCACAGGCCTGGGGTGTGGGCAGTTCACCTCCACGACCTCATGTTCCTCTGATGCACCCAGGCCAGGGACTGGGACGGGGGTCAGGGAAGAGAGTAGAGTGATCTTCACCCACTCTGTCTAGTGGCTGTAGGGGCCCTGGGAAGGGGCGGTCTCCACCTCGCCCTCCGAGAAGGGTCTGGGAGAGGGGAGGTCCAACCAAGTGGACGCCAGAGTGGGCCGCAGAGAAGGCCCTGGAGACCCCAAGGAGAGGCTGCAGCCATTGTCCCTGCCCTTCCCCTCCTGCTTAAATGGAGACAAAGTCAATCCTTTCCCTGGGCACCCTGGAGGCAAGCTGTGCTCTCAAAAGAACACTCGTCAGCTGTGGGTAGCAGAGGGAGAGCTAAGCAAAGACAAGCGTCACCAAGCCGCTGAGCTGTTGTGCCTTGAACAGCTGAGCAGACACCCGAGCCTGCTGGCCCTGCGCCGGCCTCCCGACCTGGGATGCGGCTGGGGAGCCCTGGCGTTTCTCCACCGTCTGTGGCAGAAGCACCCCCTTCCCCGACAGGTGGGGGTAAAGGCTTCAGGAACCCCTGAGCCAGCCTAGTCACTGCTCCTTTGGTCTCTTCTAGATGACATCCCCATCCGTACCTGGTTCCCCAAGGAAAACCTCTTCAGTTTCCAGACAGCAACCACAACTATGCAAGCGTGAGTCATGGCTGATGTGTGCCGGGCCCAGGCTGGGCGCCGTCTTCCTGGTGCTCAGGAATTACTGCCGGATCCTCTCCCGTCCTCTGAGCCCACCTGCGTGGCTGCTTCTGAGCAGCCCCGTGTGCCGTGTTCCGCCAGCTCTGCCTGAATGTGTCAGTCTGAAGGAAGGCAGGCCTGGCTGCTCTGAACTCCCACTGCCCCTCCCCCGCCCCATCCCTTCCCCACTGCCCTGTCCCTCACAGTCCCTCCAGTCTGTCCATCCTGTCCTGCGGGGACCTGGCTGGGGGCTGCAGCTGATGCACTCACCAGCGGAGATGGTTCGCTTCCCCGTGTCACCCAGCTCCGCCTTCACGCATGCCCCAAACAGCGGCCTACTTGTGTTTCATGTGCGTTGCCAGTGATCACAACTTAGTCCCCTGGGGGCATGCTCTTGACCTTCGCACAGCTGGGTGTTCTGTCAGGGCTTCCTTTCAGGGAGGGACTCTGCTGCAGTGTCCTCCTGCATATGCTACCCTGGAGAGCGTACCACCTCCCTTGGGCTGGATGGGGGCCCGCTACCTTCGCTGCTGGACCCAGGGTCGGCAGGGCACAGTCAGGCCTCTGTGCAGCCTGACAAGGTCACAGCATCTGGTGGCCTGGGCCACGGTGACTTCCGCGTCTGCTGCCCTTGCAAGGGCTGGCCTGCGGCATAGCCGGCACCCTGCTGGTGCCTGGGTGCCTGTGAGGGACCCTCCAGGTCAATGACAAGAAAGGAACTAACTAACTGAAGGGCGGTCGGGGGTCTGAGGGTCTCTGCTCACTGTGTCTTCTCTCTCACGCTGCCCCTTCCCGCCTCGACTCCAGCATCTCGTAAGTACCGTATGGACCTCGAGCCTGAGGGCATGGCGGTTGTCCCTGGGGGACTCTCCCACCCCCAAGTAGGTTGGGGCAGGCCAGGGACCTGGGCCTTGACCATGAGGGCGTGCTGGGTCCCAGCGAGCGCCAAGGCTACAGCAGGGCCTGTGGAACTGGGCCGAGGACAGGGCGAGGCAGGCCAGGACCTTCTGCCTGGCCCAGTGCCCTGGATGCCCCGCTGGGCCCTGTGCTCGAGCCTCTGTCCCCACGTCTCTGTCCCTCTTGCCTGCGGCCAAGGGCAGTGCTGACTCGTGGTGGTTTCCCAGGGTGTTCAGGGGCTACGCGGAGAGGAAGCGCCGGAAACGGGAGAATGATTCCGCGTCTGTAATCCAGAGGTAGGGCCTGCCAGCCACTCGCCACCAGGGTCCGTCTCTTGTCTGTCCTGGTCTAGCCTGGGCCCACCCAGCTCAGCAGACCTGGTGGGGGAAGGGCGGTGGCGAACACTGGCCTGGCCCTGCTCTGGGGACGCGGCAGGCAGGAAAGGTCATGTGGCCTCAGCCCCTAGGCCTATGTTTTGGGGGTACAGTGACAGCTGAACTGCAGCCAGCTGGCCCCCCTGTGCCTTTTTCTGTCCCTTGAAGCCCGGAGCAGTGGGGTCAGCAGCCAGGCTTACCCTCCCTAATCCCCACCCACCTCAGAGATGTGTCCAGGAAGCTTGTCTGTCCATCTTGGAAGTTGGGCTTTGGCAGGGCACAAAGTTTGGGGTGAAGGAGACCTGCTTCTAAGGTGGCCCAGGGACACAGCGGCAGGGGAGGGGACATCTGCCAGCCCCAAACCCACCTCACGCTTGGGAACAGTTGTGCTGCCCTGGCCACCGTGTGCAGGAAGCAGGAGCCCTTGCCCACGGCGGGAGGGAGGCTCTCGGGGTTCAGAGTACCTGGGCGCAAGGAGAGAAGGGAAGCGTGGGCAGCGAAGGTGGGAGACCCGAGTGCACAGGGTCGCCCGGGGAGCGGTCCTGGGAGGGGGTGGGGCTGCAGGAGGAGGCTGGCTTATCGGGCCTTTGTACTGGCAGCAAAGGGGGGGCCCGCGCGGCGTCTCAGGAGAGGGGCTGGGCGGGATGTGTGGGAGAGCTGGGGGCGCCGGGAGGGCACCCCTCACGGCCGGGGCAGTGTTGGGACGGTGGCCAGCAAGCAGTGGGGAAGAGAGCGCGGGGGACGGGGCGCCACCCTCGCGGCCCTCACCAGCCCCCGGTGCTTCCGCCCCCAGGAACTTCCGCAAACACCTGCGCATGGTCGGCAGCCGGCGGGTGAAGGCCCAGAGTAAGGCCCGGGAGCGGCGCGGGCGGGCGGGCGGGCGGGGGCGCGCTGCTCTTGGGCGGCTGGGGCTTTGCGTGCTGCTCTCTGCGCCCCAAAGGCCCGCGTCCCCAGGCCGCGCTGCGGCCCCGCTGCGGCCCCGCGGGCACCTTCCCACTCCCAGGCTCCGCCCCGGGACAGGGCCCCGCCCCTGCACTCAGACTCCGCCCATGTCCACCCAGCGCTGTCCGTGTCCGCCGTCGACCGGCCTCACTCCCCACTCCCGCCCCTCCCGCCGCAGAGGCGTCTTCCACTCTCCGGACCCCCTCACGGTCCCCACGTCCTCCCCAGCCAGCCCCTGTCCCTGTCCACCTCGTGTGGCTGCAGGCCCCGCCCCTAACGGGTTCTGCTTTCGCTGCAGCGTTCGCTGAGCGGCGCGAGCGGAGCTTCAGCCGGTCCTGGAGCGACCCCACCCCCATGAAAGCCGACACCTCCCACGACTCCCGAGACAGTAGGTGCCCGGCGGTGCAGGCCAGCACACGTCTCCCAGAGGCTCCCCTAGGTCCCCAGTCTTGCGCTCCCACCCCGGGGGAGCAGCTAAGCTTCTGCGCCTTTGCCGAACCTCAGTTTACCAGACTGAGTGGGGGGGGGGGGGGGGGGGGGGGAGCGGTCCTGGGAGGGGGTGGGGCTGCAGGAGGAGGCTGGCTTATCGGGCCTTTGTACTGGCAGCAAAGGGGGGGCCCGCGCGGCGTCTCAGGAGAGGGGCTGGGCGGGATGTGTGGGAGAGCTGGGGGCGCCGGGAGGGCACCCCTCACGGCCGGGGCAGTGTTGGGACGGTGGCCAGCAAGCAGTGGGGAAGAGAGCGCGGGGGACGGGGCGCCACCCTCGCGGCCCTCACCAGCCCCCGGTGCTTCCGCCCCCAGGAACTTCCGCAAACACCTGCGCATGGTCGGCAGCCGGCGGGTGAAGGCCCAGAGTAAGGCCCGGGAGCGGCGCGGGCGGGCGGGCGGGCGGGGGCGCGCTGCTCTTGGGCGGCTGGGGCTTTGCGTGCTGCTCTCTGCGCCCCAAAGGCCCGCGTCCCCAGGCCGCGCTGCGGCCCCGCTGCGGCCCCGCGGGCACCTTCCCACTCCCAGGCTCCGCCCCGGGACAGGGCCCCGCCCCTGCACTCAGACTCCGCCCATGTCCACCCAGCGCTGTCCGTGTCCGCCGTCGACCGGCCTCACTCCCCACTCCCGCCCCTCCCGCCGCAGAGGCGTCTTCCACTCTCCGGACCCCCTCACGGTCCCCACGTCCTCCCCAGCCAGCCCCTGTCCCTGTCCACCTCGTGTGGCTGCAGGCCCCGCCCCTAACGGGTTCTGCTTTCGCTGCAGCGTTCGCTGAGCGGCGCGAGCGGAGCTTCAGCCGGTCCTGGAGCGACCCCACCCCCATGAAAGCCGACACCTCCCACGACTCCCGAGACAGTAGGTGCCCGGCGGTGCAGGCCAGCACACGTCTCCCAGAGGCTCCCCTAGGTCCCCAGTCTTGCGCTCCCACCCCGGGGGAGCAGCTAAGCTTCTGCGCCTTTGCCGAACCTCAGTTTACCAGACTGAGTGGGGGGGGGGGGGGGGGGG